TCCTCTTCTAGTATGATAGCAGAAGGGTGATCTTGAGCAGGTTGTGCATAAGCTTTCTCAAGATCCTCGAGGCTCTTCTTTATGCTCAGGAGGGTCTCCTCTGTTTCACGGTAGGAGAACCCAGTTTGGGCATTGTCTGGGATATCCATCTTTGGAAAGGAAGTCTCAGGTACTCGAGCAATCTGCTCCACGAGAAGCCTCAAGTGATAGTTTGGATCTGGCTGATGGAGGAATTCTTCTTGATAAGGAGATTGTTCTTGAAATACCCAGGGGTCTGATTGTTCTTCGTAGGATGGGGGTTGGTACTGAAACCCGAATCCATAGTCTTCTCCTCCTTGATTGCTCCAGGGGGTCTCGGGGTAATACCACTCGGATGGTGGTGGATACTCCCAATGATTGGAGAAGCCATGAGGATCCATGATTCAGATCTGCACCAACAAAAACAAAAAAACACCCAAGTGAAAAGCAAGGGTGGAAAAGAAAAGAAAAACGCTAAAGTAACAAACTTCTGCCTTTCCTAATAATCTAGAAAGTCCCCGGCAACGGCGCCAAAAACTTGACACGCTAAAACACAACACCAAACTGCGACCAAGTGTAATCGCAGAATGGGACTGCAGTATAGTGGCACAAGTAATAAATATCGAATCCACGGGTCTCTAGAGTTACTATTACTCAGCTTCAGTTCATTATCTAGCAAACTAGATTAAGGATTGATCAACTAAACTACTCTACTAACTAAACTAAGTAAAACTACTAATTACAGTTTGGGAACTCACTTAGGTATGATTCCCCCTAGCCCCTCAATTAGGTCCAAGTTGTAATTCCTTTTGGTTGTTTTACTGTTGATTACACTGCGGAAGATCCGACAGTAGCTTGGAATCTCTTAAGCTGACCAAGCCCTCTCAGTCTAACTACCCGGCAGGCGACTAACCTTCACCGGGGTAGAAAGCTGAAGCAGTAAGAACAGAACTCCACTACTGGAATTAGATTCCAGTACAAAGCAGTAAACTGGCTAACTCTCGTATAGCCAATCTCCTACTATCGAATGATGAGGCTCTAGCAACCTAATCAGATTCTATCTATCTCAGGTTGCAGCAGAAATCAGGAAAAGTTGATCAGACTTCAATTGACTCAACAAACATGCATCATTCGATTATAATCAAACAATATAGCATCCAAAACTTCATACAAGAAAGATCCTAGCTCATGAAACTAGGGTTCCTCAAAACCTAAGTGAAGGGAAGTTACTCCATAGAGAAGAGAGAGACTGCAGAAATCTGATCTAGATCTTCAATCTCCATCTCCAAGCTTGATTCCCGAGCTCCAATGGCGAAGAAATCCTCCAAAATAGCTCCAAGAATGTCTCCAAGTCGCTCTCTCTCTCTAGGGTTCGTCCCTTGGGTGTTTGGGATCCAAAACCCAGCTCTCTCTTCTGTTGCTCGAATCTGCCTTCAAAAACCCGACTCTGGGCGAATTACGGGCAGAATTACGGCCGTAATCACGTCCTGCCCGTAATTCGCACCAAAACACGCGTTTCACTTAAGCTGCAGGAGGAGAAGTTACGCCCGTAATTTCCCAATTACCGCCAGTAATTTGGGAATTACGGCCGTAATTCTTGGGGTCTTGCCCGTAATTTTATCACCGCGAGGGAATTCTGGGTAGAAGGCTCGGCCAATAAATTACGGGCATGCCCTGGCCAATTACGGCCGTAATTAGGCAGGGGCTGCCCGTAATTCTCTCTGTGCTTCTGTTCAAAGCTTCGTTTCTCCCTCGTCCGGACTCCAAATCAGTCGCCGTTTGAACCCAGACGCTCGTAGTCTCGTCCTCTTTCTTTTCATGACAAGCTTGCATGATTCTTTGTCCATAAAGTGAGGTAGAAATCCATTCTTCTTCAGGTCTTACCCGAGTTTCTTCTCCCGAATCGTCAATTGATCTCTGATTGACCCGAAACTTGCTCCCAAGCCTCCATTCACGTACTAGGACCTGAAATATCACAAACAAGCACAACCTAGCGTGAAATCAGCCTAAAACACGATAAATCACATCTCAAACGGTGTAAGAACAGGGGTAAAAACATGTGTAATTATCGGTCTATCAAAGACTAGAAAGGAAAAATTTCTTGAGAGTGAGACGAGCCCCGTAGGAGAGATGTCTGGCCTTCCAATGTCGAGCTTCTTTTGAAACTTGACCTTAACAGGGTTCCTAAGGGAAATATAATTAGATTTTGCACCAAGGGGGTCCCCAAGATAGATAGAAGGGCTCTACTCCACTTGCACCCGAAAATGATAGCATAAAAGTTAGGCTTGGGAACATCGCCAACGGTGCACATAACTATTTATCGAGATTGATCTTAAGGCCTGTAGCCGTTTGAAAGCAGAAGAGGGTAGCTAAAACATTCACCAGTTGCTAATGAGACACATCGCATAAGATTGGAGTATAGTCTACAAAGAGGAGGTGAGTTATCTCCTTGCAACCTTCCACTTCGTTCATAAAGAAGCCCTCGATCCTCCTGTCATCCTTGAGCATGGAATCATATAGGATAAAACATCCATGATAAGCACGAACAACCCCAACGGAAGAGGATCTCCCTGGTGGAGACCTTTGAAAGTGAGCAAGAAACCTTTTGTAGGATAGTTACCCAATTAAATGTCATTCTTGCAAATGCGGGTAACAACCCTCTCATACATGTCATTACATCATTATATGTCGTTCCATATAAGGAAACATCTTTATTACATTGTATTATTAGGCAAACCATTTCGAAATAAATATGACATTTAATTACACAATCGTCAAATTTGAAAGCGAGAAAACCTTCTCCTCATCTAGAGAGACTTTGCTGTCGACGAATCCGAGAATTTCATAAGTCATTAATTTTTTACCATTGTGAAATTCATGACAATTTAATCACCCTATTTGGTTGTGCATTTGTTTGACGTTTCAAATACAAAAATGGATTAATTATCATTCTTTTTTTTTGGGGAAAAAAGTGACCGAAGTTGACCAATTCTTCCTATGAAAAAAGCACAAAAGCACATCAACAACAAATTTCAATGAAAATAAAATTTCTAATTCTATATGAAATAACATGTTTATTCTTAATAAAAAATTAGATTGGTTCGAGAATTATTGAGAACTTTTTTATAAATATATTTAATATGATAAATAAATAAATAAAAGGAAGAGATAAATTAGGGGGGAAAATCTCACGAATCAAGATATATAATTTTCTTAATTATGAGAGATTTGACATCCGTAGATTTTAGAAATTTGAAATCTCTCAACCTAAAATTCACAATACAAAAAGCAACAAAAAATATAACTTGCTACAAAACTACGGATTCAGTGAATCCACGACTTAAGTCATGTTCTACAAACGACCCCTAAATAACTAAAATGGAGAAGAGGTAAGCAATGTAGTCAAAAGCGAGTTTCTACGTAGAAACGTTTTGGTGATCTAGAAGCGTAAAATCGTAAGTTTTTAAGTTTTAAAGCGGAGTTTTTAACTAAATAAGTTATAAAAACTGTGATTTTGTGTAGAAGCGTTTTAGTGACCTAGAAACGTAAAATCGTAAGTTTTTAAGTTTTAAATCGCGATTTTGACTACATTGGAGGTAAGTATAAATTTTGATTTTACAACCCATTAACTATCAAATGCTAGGTGAGTTCTACGGTACCGAGAGTAAAATCCAGGGTACCACATACCTTAAGTATGAAAACGCTATCCATATCTTGAATTGACTGATCTTTCAGACATGATACTATATTCTATCCCTTGAAGATCAAAATCTACGTCTTAATTCTCTAAATTTTATACCCCAAGATCAACTTAATTAGTTCAATAATCGACGGTTATGATTCATCCAAATATATTCAAAAAAATGAATGCACCATCTTAAGGTTATAGTTTATGATTTAGATAATTAGAACCAAGGGTTCACTTATTAAGGGTTAGGGTATAATATCAGACCCAAAAATTCTACTAATTCGAGGTCTAGATAGCGTTTTCATACTCAAGGTATGCGGTACCCGGATTTTACCCGGGGTACCGTAGAAGCCACCCAAATGCCAATATTTTATGTAATATGTAGGCAAATACGTATTCCGTAAAAAACAAAGTTGGCAAAGTTAAGAAGATTGGTGTTATGCTTGACGTGAAATCTGTCTACAAACGTATCGGCTTCCGTTATTGTTTATGTCATTACCAACATTATACTTATTCAGGATTCACCTTCGAGTTGTGAACAAAACCACTGAAGCTAACTTTATTGTTATCGATCGAGTGGGAGATGGATTTTATGGAATGCTGGCTGAATAGCCATTCCAAGGCAACAATAGAATGAGAGGATTACCATTTGCTACAAATTGAGGGAATAGTATTGAAGTTTGATATCAAGCTCACATATTACATTGCTAATCAATAAGTAAGCACACGATTTCAAGTATAGGGAAGGATGAGAAGAGCAGAACTCAGAACGATCTTCCTAACTTGATCGAGGTTAATTATATTTGGATGAAAATGATGATCAATATTAATTACATTACTATCAAATGTATACCATGTGTAAATTATACTTAGTTATATAATCAAGTATATAGTTCTTCAATTTTTATATCACACACAAATGATACTCTGTTGTGTTCTCTAATTTTGACAAACACATTTAATTGTATAGCTTGAAACTCCAGAGGAACTTTCCTTACCCACTAGCATGTATGCAATTATATACTTGGTTGTATTATCAAAGTGTATACGTCTTCAATTTTTAATCTTTAATCTATAGGCAAATGCATGTAATTTATAACATAAAATTTCAGTGGAACTTTGCTTCCTTTCGCACTAACATGCAAGCAATTGTATCCATCTACAATATTAACTCCAATATATTTTAAACACCTATAATTCTAGAAAATCACACCATATATTGTGCTTTTGAATGTCTATTATCTTAATTCATAGTGCTAATGCAAGAGAACAAGAATGAGACTGCTAATGGTGGATGTACGATCCGGTGCTAGAGATGACGATGATCTTGAGAAGAAGAAAGACATTCTTCATGAGGAAGATACAAGTACCAGTGACGAGAAGAAAAAAAATCATGGATATTGTTAATAACTTGGACGAGGTAAATTGTACTCTTGTGATTGAAAGAGATTTTTGGAGAAGAAAGTTTTGGGGGAAATATGCGCATGTAAGTTATATTCCATAGTTTTACTTTAAGCATCCTTAACTCATGGTTTGTTTGGTAATTATTATTTGTCAATTTAGATAATTATTGATAATTTCTTTCATTGCAGATGTAATGGCAGTTGAATTTGAAAAATACGGTCTACCCGGTGCTCATTTATTAGTTCTCCTAGTTGTGGAAGATAAAATCTATGGTCCTTCAGAAATAGGTTCAACTATATATGCTGAAATTTCAGATCCTACAGCAGATCCTAAATGTTTTGAGGCATTTAAAATTTTTATGTTTCACAGACCATGTAGCATTCAAGGACCTATAGCTCCATGTACAAAAATTTTTTTGACAATGAGAAACTGCTTTTTATTCCATAACCCAACAATGGAAGCCAAATACATTCTTACAGCAAAGGAGAAATAAGATCAGCAATAATCAACCAATCTTGTGGGAGAGTTCCCATCCGTTCATTACGTGCCATCCAATCAGCAAGCCCATTGAGACGTCGGGGGACAAACATAACATAGATCCATGGAGCTCCATGTACAATTAATGGTATATTTGAGGAGAGAAATATTGTTCAAAATTTGCACGCGGTAAATTCAACTCCAATGAAATAGATTATTTCTATTTGTAAATATTTTATCATTAAATTTTAGTGCGCAAAGAAATGCAAGAAAACAAGGAAGAGATTAATGAAATGCAGAGAAGAAGGAAGAGACTATTGATAATGTAGATAAATGTGTCATTAATGGAGCTGATGATGGTGCTCACGGTGGAGGAAATAAGTCAAAACGAAAACGTGCAGTATTACTGACGATGATGACTAAATAAATGGGTGATTTGAAAATGTTTTTAGAAGTAAGTTCCCTTGCCTGTGGTTTACCTTTCATTTCCGTAAAGAATTTTAGTTGATGAGTCATTACCATGACAGAAAACAGTATGATGTTGATCTTTTTGAATTCTCTTATTCTACAAGTCAATTTGAATATTAAGAGTATTTAAATACTTTAGATTTTTTTATAACACCAAAAAAAACGTATATCTTGCATACAACTTCCTATTGTTGTTTACGTGAATGGCGATCGAATCCGGCTAACTGGCCGGGCCCGTGACTAGTTATCAATTATAGCAGTTAGTGTTATGTAATGACCTTAAACCGGGACATCAAAGGTGACATAATTCATATTTGTGCTGTCAAGTGTCAATAACATATGTGCTCAAAATAATTGCGGCGAAACAATCAATAAACCTTCTACTATACGTGTAGTTTTTTTTAACCAAATATAATCAGAAATATATTGATAAGCTCAGAAGTTACACCCTGGATTCAACCCAGGCACGAAAATCATACAAACGACACGAGACCGGAGACAAAGAAAGGGCCTTCCTAGCCACTGAATGGGCTACCCTATTGCTATTCCGACCGACGAACCGAACATAAAAACCATTATTCACCCCTAGCAGGCTCAAAATCTCCGCGATTATAGCTCCTACCCGCCTATCCCGCGCATTCTTTGCATTAATTTTGTCAATGAGTACCTTTGCATCACCTTCAAACCTCACTTGAGGGACGTTAAGGCCCTGACACCAATTGAGAGCTTCACACAGGGTAATAGTCTCTACCACCAGGGGGTCAACCTCAAAAACCAACCCTTTCGCTGCCACCACAGTCCCGCCTCTATCCTTAACAATCAGCCCTCCCGCTGAATGGGAGCTAGCACAGACCGCACCATCCCACATACAGACAAGAGGAGCCCTATCCTCCTCGACCTGATGATGCTGAGACATAACCTAGTCCACGATCAATTGATCCTCTGGCAACGACACCCACTCATGTACCTGCTGATGATATTGGTGCATCAGCTGGGAAACCAAGAATTGCTTGCCCTCAAAGGCTGCCCAATTTCTTGATTTCCAAATACGCCAGAGGAGTGCTACCAAGGCCATAACTTGATCTGGCTGAGTCAATCGAAGCAAACAACGCTTAAGAAACAACGGAAAAGTGTGTCGAGGAAGATCTTGGCCCAAATGCTCTAACCCCGAATGTGCCCAGAGAGCTTCAGCGACTGGACACTCCCAAAACAGGTGCTCCATCATTTCAGACTCTGCCCAACACACCAGACAGCGAGGCAATATCTGGACCCTTTTTTCGATCAAGGCTTCTATGGTGGGCAAAATACGGTGAAAGATTTGCCAGAGGAACAACTTAAGTTTAGGCGGGATTTTAAGGGCCCACATTTTCATCAAACTTGCTCCATTCATCCAACTCACTCGAGGGCGCCATGCCCCCACCTGTTTATCCATCAACACCGCTAGGTGATAGGCAGATTTGACAGTAAATACACCATCACACGTATCATGCCATACTACCTTATCCTCAATACTCATACGACTAGGCAGGGGAATTGCCAAAATCTCTCAACTAACTTCCGGAGGAAACATCTGCTGAAGTGCCTGAACACACCACCCCCCTTCCACAGGATCAATTAGCTCAGCAAATTTTGGATCAGAGTCCTCCGGTATTACTTGAGGCTTACACATCGGAGGGTGAGGGTGAAACGCCGAAACCCAGCTAGAGTTCTTAATAGAGATTTGTACACCATTCTCCACTTGCCAACGAAGGCCTCGCTGAAGGAGAGTACGACCATGAAGAATACTCTGCCACCACCACGATGGACGGGATCGAGCAGTCGCCGTGAGGAAAGTGCCTTTCGGGAAATATTTACCCTTATAAATCTGGGTCAGGAGGGAATCCGGCTCATTAAGGATACGCCACCCAATCTTCGCCAGGAGAGCTTGATTGAAGTGTTCAAATCGTCAGAAACCCATCCCCCCCGTCATGTTTACTTGTGCATAAGTTTCGCCAAGAGATCCATCGGACCCGCCGACGATCCCCTTCCACCTTCCACCAGAATCTAGCAACATGTTTATCTAGAATACGACAGAGAGCAAGCGGAAGTTTAAAGCAGGACATTACATGCAGCGGTAAGGAGAACGCAATTGATTTAATCAACGTCTCAATGGCCACCCAAAATAGCACCTTATGCTTCCATCCCTGAAGCCTTTCCAATAACTTCTCCTCCAAATACCGGAAAGTAGCCACCTTTGACTGCGCAATCAGAGTGGGCGATTCGAGGTATTTATTTTGGACACCCACCGCACCCACACCAAGCCGGGCAGCTAGCGCTTCTTGGTCCACGGGCAGAATATTTTTGCTGAAACAAACCGCAGATTTTTCCAGATTTACCCTCTGGCCACTAAGCTCCTCATACTCGTTCAAGACCACCAACAAATTCTCACACTCCTGCATTGATCCTCTGAGAAACAGATAAGAATCATATGCAAAGAACATATGAGAAACCCGCGGGGCTCTAGGGCTAACACGTACACTAGTGAGCTTCCGGTCCGCAATGGCCTTGCATAGTAACGCAGCAAAGCCCTCAGTGCAGATAACAAGCAGGAGGGGAGATAATGGGTCCCCTTGAATAAGCTCCTGGTCGAGGTAAAGTACCCGGCTGGTGTACCATTCATAAGAACCGAAAAAGAAGAAGACCGCAGACATTCCTCGATCCACTGAACCCACATTGGGCTGAACCCCATTTTTCTTAAGACCGCAAGCAAGAAGGGTCATTCAACTCTATCATTGGCCTTTTCCATATCAACCTTCAAAGCCATATACCCCTTCTTTCCTTTAGTCTTAATTTTAAGGTAATGCATCAGTTCGAGTTCGATGAGAACATTATCCACTATCTGTCTCTCACGAATAAACGCATTCTGCCTAGGTGAGATTATCCCTGGGAGGAACTGAGCCAAACGTTCAGACATTATTTTAGAAATGATCTTATACACAAACTGACACAAACTTATTGGTCTCAACTAGAGCATACTTTCGACGTTATCCACTTTGGAATAAGTGTTAGCCACATATGGTTAAAACTTCGTAACATCCGCCTAGTCTGGAAAAAGACACGGACAACTTCGACCACAGAATCCCCAACGATATCCCAAAATGCGTGAATTTTTTTTCCAGTGAATCCATCCGAACCCGGAGCCTGAGTTGGGCCAATCGAGAATACTGTTTGACGGATTTCCGATGCCAACACATCAGCAGTCAGTACTAAGTTCATCTCCTCGGTAACTGTCTGTGCAATCGGAAGATCCGCCACCCGAGCCTCCATATTCTCAATCTGATTTTCAGATATAAAGAGAATCTTGAAGAAATCAACTGCTATATCTGACTTCCCTTTCTCATCCGTTACCCATTCATCCGCCCCATTACGCAGCCCTGCCACAAAGTTCTTTTTTCCCCTCGTCCGTGTGACAGTATGGAAGTGAGAAGTATTACTATCCCCTTTTTTTAGCCATCAGACTCTTGATTTCTGGTGCCAATAAATCTCCTCCGCCTCCCATTGGCGACTAAGCTCAGTTTCAAGGTCCCTCACCATATTCCAATCAATATGATTTGAGACATTTACCTGCTCAATCTCTGTTTGAAGCGTTTTGATATTACGGAGGGAGTTAGTCGGGCCAGCCATACTCCAACCATAAAGATGTCGTAAACGTTTTAATCGCTCCCATAGTCTAAACATGGGGGACCCGTGGATATGCTCATTCCACACATACACAGCCATAGCCCGAACTTCTGGATTATCCGCCCAACGAGCATCAAAGCGGAACAGGGGTCGACTCTATCTCGTGAAAGGTTTTATCCGATAAGAGCAAAGCTCTATGATCAGACCCTTGATCTGTGTGATGTTTCACCAAAGTCTCCGAAAAACGCTCCAACCAAGGCTGGGAACATAACGCCTGATCAAGCCTTTCCCGAATACAGGCATGCCCCATCCGCCTATTGGACCATGTGAACTGATCCCCCTGGAACCCCACATCATGAAGCCCCAGGTCAGTCACAAAGTTTCTAAGGGCAGCGGAGCTGGCTTCGTTTCAAGGGTTCCCATCCTCATTCTCATTTCTCGATAGAATGGAATTGAAATCATCAATCACTACATAAGGTAGCTGGATTTCTTCACACATGATTTGGAGTTGGTTCAATTGCATTTCACGGATAGTATCATTGCAACTAATATACACACCCACAACCACATACGAAAAATTATTCTCATTAATACGAACTGACAAATGATAATTTGAATGACTCAACACCAGAGCATCAACTCCGGGGGACCAACCAACAACTAGACCACCCGACGCATTAACCGCATCAACAAAAAAACAATTGGACAAATTGAAACCTAACCCGCGCATCCTACGGGAAACTACTCGACGACTCGATCTTGTTTCAGACAAGAAGACAAGATCAGGCTTATTGGAATGCAGTAAACCTAACGCAGTACGGAATGTGAGGGTTGGCCCAATCCCTCTCACATTCCAGGTCAACATCCTCATTTATCCAGCTGGGGTCATTTATGGCTGGCTACCTCCACCTCTTCAGTCTCTTCCTCCACTTCTGTAAATTGTCGTTTGGGAGACGGATCCTCCTCCAACTCCCCTCCTGTTTCCTGAAAGCCTTGCTTTCTAGATCCCATCATCAGCTGACCATCATTAGAGCCATACTCATTTAGAGATAGACTCTCCATCAAAGTCCCCTCTCTCATTTCCTCAGCATCCATACGGCCAGTCTCAGCAGATTTTGTGAGCTTACCAGCCGCCTTAAATTCGAAGGCTTCGACAGCACGCCTCACATGGCCCTTCCCTAGTAAGATAGGCCCAGGTCCCCTCTCCATATCTGCCCGGCTCTTCAACTCAAACTGGTGGCCATCAGCCTCCGGGTCCGGGCTGGAGTCATCACCATCCGACCCCTCCTTCTCGTACTCCTCCTCACCCTGCATCCTTATGTTCACCTGCACCTTGGGCGATGGAAAGGTATGCGGAGAGGGAGACGATAAGAGGTCATCACCAGCCTCATCATATAGAGCACCAGACTGTTCCATCTCCGGTTCCCAGTGTTGTTCACTCTGTGCTCTCTCTATTGAACCTTTCTCTTTTCTTAGCTCATGCATCGGGTCCTGGGTCATATCCTTCCTCTGTGTGGGTATGCGCCCACTTCTTTCCTTTTTGCCCAAGCTACCAGACTCACACCCAGAGTCCATCCGGCTTCCCTTTGGTGGTCCTCCCGTAGTAGTAGGTCTCCACCCAGTCGCACCTTGACCTTCCAAATCCGCTGAGCTACCACCCCTCCTTCTCACCTGGCGAGCAGGGGAAAATAGTCTTCCCTCCCTATCCTTGGGCTCCCTAGGTATCTGGACGGAGCGATCCGTCTCCTCTGGCCTCCTCTGCACCCTATGGATCATTGGCGGTTTAGCCATCACGAAGCCATGAGGGCTTCTCCCTACCCTTGGCCACGTGTAATTGTAAAATGAATGCTTCGATTTAGTTATTTGATTGAAAAGAACTGAAAACCATAACTAATGAACCTAATTTATTCATCAATCCCGAAGCAGAGTGCGGGTAGAAGAACCTAATAAATATATATAAGTATCACATGTGGACGCCCAATTAGCAGCTGGTTTTTGTTTCTCTAAAAAGAATTATTGGTATAACCTTGTTGGTTTGATCTTAAAAGTATAGTTAGTAAAATATTTGTTTAATACTTGTATATGTACTAAATATATTTAAAACTCTTGATCCCTTTATTGTGAAGCCATCTCATTTTCCCCTGTATATTTGATATACTTGTAAATAGTGTGTAATTTTATAATATTTATGTTTATTTTCAATAAATTTCTATAGCCGTCCATTTATGCAGAAATGACGTATAAAATCTGTATTAATATTGTATTATACTACAACCATATATTTGAATAAAGCTGCCCAAACATCTATAAAAACAATGGGAATTCCACGTAGACAGACCTACCAAGCAACAAAGAGAGGAGGGGAAGATAAGAAGGAAAGAACGCGCCAGAGAGAGAGAGAGAGAGTCAGAGTAGTAGTTGAAAATAAACAATGGGGACGGAATTGCCGCAGTACGTGGCGCTCCGATCAAAGACCGACGGGAAGTATCTACACTACATGTGGAACGAGGAGGAATTCGGCGAGTTCTACAAGTTTTCCGGCACGAAAAAGGACGTCGATCCGGTCAGCCCGTTCGCCAAGGTGGAGATCGTCCCTTCCCCGGGCACTTACGGCGCCTACATCTACCTCCGCTCCGCCTACAACAACAAATACCTGATCCCGGTGAAACTGCACGGCATCAACTTCCTGTCCTTCTCCGCCGACTCCCCCAACGACGACATGTCCCTGGTCGGCGTCTCCACCCGCTTCGAACCCTTCACGCCTTCCGACATGCCCAACACCATCTGGTTCCGTTACGCCGCCAACCAAACCCCTATCTACATCACCACCAACGCCGACGAAGACGACCCGGCCCTGGACCAGCTGGCATGCCTCTACTCTCAGGACCGAGCCTACAGGACGTACTTCGAGTACGCTGCTTGGGAGTCGTACGAGGATAAGATGAAGGCAAATGAGCAGGAGATCCAGTCGCGTGACGTGGAGATTCAGACGCTGAAGGGTCAGGTGGCTGCCGATGAGGGCGATAAGGTTAAGCTGAAAGGACAGGTGGCGGCTTGGGAGACGTACGAGGAGGAGCGGAAGGCCAAACTGGCGGAGGAGATGGAGAAGCTGCAGTCTGCCTGGGAGTCGTTCCAGTCAGACGTCACGGCTGGGGCTGATCCGCCTAAAGATTGATGGGAATTAATCTCCCTGGAAGTACGTGTTTCCAGTAAAAAAACTCCAAGCTATGGCTATACGACATCAGCACAATATAATCATTTGGGGTTAGCTTTTCCCATTCATTTCAGGAATAAAATGCATGTATTTAAATTTCGTGTTGTATCCAGTAACATACTAATTAAGTACGCTCTCTCAAACGAAATTTAACCCATGAATTGAAGTTCACGCATGATTCATACACATGATCATTGGAAACCGAAATTTAATGATCCACGGACTGAAGTTCACTCATGATTCAAACACATGATCATTTGGCAAACTGGTTGTGATTGTCATAAACCAATTGGTCGCAATAACTCGAGTTGTTGGGAGAAGGTTATGATAGATCTCGTACCACACTCTTACACTCCTCCTCAAACGAAAGCCAACTCATGGGCTTGAAGTTTGCACAGGCCCACCATACCTTGTGCTTTTAATCAACTGTTAATAGTGGGGGTCGTGAAAATTCGAATACGACCACTTGACCAAACCAGCTCTGATACCATATCATAATTTGTTTGGTCACAATATCTTGTATTATTGAAAAAAAATTAATTATAGATTTATGCCACTCCATTACATAGCAATAGATATACACTGGGGGAATTTTCTAAAAAAAAAAAAATGGTACAACAAAATTAGGGGTCAATTTTTAAGTTTTGGAATGTTGTATGATTTTGAGGGGCTGTCCAAATCCTGATTGGTTGGCTATCGATAGAGGACAGGGTGTACAAGGCAAATGTGACAAACGTTTCTATAGGCTATAGTTATCACGTAATACATGTGGAGAGGAGAAGTTGACAGTGACATGGAGATGCTGACCCAAAGCAAGCAGCAATCACTGCATTATTATGTTACACTAGTAGAGAATAGCTTCATAATCAGAATTCAAACCCGAGGATTTGTCTTTTCTGAGAAGCCGCCGATTGTAATTTAACTACTTACAAGTTTTAATAAATTGATTCGCCACTATAAAAAAATATATATATTATGGTATTACAGTAGTATAATGATATTGTGCAGTCTGTATGACAGTGATGAGATGGTATGATGAATTCTTATTATAGTGGTGTTACTGGTATGATGTTTATATCATAGTGGTACGATAGTGAAGTTTTACCATAATGCAAAACTACAAATGACATTCATTTTGATAATTTTCTTAAAAAAAAAAATTTACGTTGTGTTAAGCAATCTTAAGAAGTTAAGATAGTGTTAAGATCATGATATGACAACAATGTAAAAGTATCATATATTTTTCGATAATTAACATTTCATTTAAGTACCCCACTACCCCTAACCCTCTGGCCAGGAATAGAAAACCAAACAGCAAGCTCCACCGTTTGGACTACATACATGTCAAAACTACTCAAACTCCCCTAAGTATATAGGAGATTACAAACATGAGGAAGTTGCTTTAGTACTTATGTGCGAAAATAACACATTTCCTATAGGAGATTACAAAAATTGAACTCTTATACTCGGCAATAAGAGCCAATCCGTCCTTGTTGCTTGCTCCAAAAACTCGAGTACATCGCTCTTTTTATAGCAGTCCAATCGTTAAGGTTTTTTTGTGTGTGTTAAACTATAGCAAAATAAATATAATTGTATAGTTCATAGTAAATGTGTTCTTTTATATAAAAAAATCTGAATTAAAATGAAAATATATGACTCAATTAAGAAAATTAAATTAGAAAAAGAGGGTTGAATCAGCCAATGAAATTTGGCCCCAATATTTAATGGATTGGGTTTAATGCTTTTGTATCCTTTTATTTTCATGTACTATATATTTCTATCTAGAAGATTGAAAAAAGGTTGAAATTATCGAATAAAATGTTCAGCCTCGATTTAGACCATAAAAACGAGATAATTTTGCACTCCACTAATAGGTCCTTATCCACTAAACCCGTACCATAAGATCAGGTTAATCAAAATTAAAGTTGTTTGTTATGATTTGTCTATATACATCAAATCACATCTAAAAGGCTTGAACGCATACGTATATTATATGTCAGTGTACGCTAGCTTTTCAATATGGTCCAGACTAACATACGTTAGACATACTTACCTAGTCGCACGTCCAACGTGTTTTGATATTTAGACCATGAATTAACCGGAGTACTATACTACAACCTCTAATCGGTGAAACTTAGGTTCTAATATTCTAAACCTAGAGAGGACGGAATTTTCTTGAGAATGGTCCTCTCCCCCAGGATAGGAATTAGCAGGCGATAAAGCGTCAGTCAAACCTCCCGCTTTGTGGTAAGTTCAACTTAATCAAATATAAAATTCGATGGTTCTTATTTTTCGCTATATATCAAATTACATTTCATAGATATTTACGCATATGATACCTCACAAGTGTATTTATATTTTTTGTTAAAGTCATACATGTGTTCTAAAAGTATTGTTTGTGTTCTAAAATGACAGAAGAAGGCAGGAATGAATTAGTTATGGACACACCTTATTCAACGGAAAAAAATAGTTAGGGGACAATTAGAATGATATTAGAATTAAAACAATATGATATCAAATTTTAATTTTAAACAAAATAATAGCCATACTTTTTTAAAATGGTATATATAGTTATTAAACCGTCAACTTTCCATCCAGTCAAACGTTAATTGACTCTGACGTTGTAAACCTATTTGTGAGATGGATGATTTTTATGATGTGGCAAGAAATCAACCCTTGGACCTTGCCACATGAAAATTTATTAATTCAAATCAACCACTCACATTTTTAAATGAAAAATAAATTAAAAAATAACTATAAGCAACTATGTTGCGGACTGGGAGATCGAGCTAGTGCATGTTTTTCGCGAAGGCAACTATGTTGCGGACTATTTGGCGTCTGTTGGCCATTCTTTACCTATAGGAGTTCATTTGATTGATATCCCGAGCCCTACCCTGAGGCATTGGTTGTATTTCGACACTATTGGGGTCCAGACCCAGAGAATTATCAGGAATTAAAGGGTTAGAGCGCCCCTAGCGCTCTATTTCGCACCAAAAAAAAAAGAAAAGTTACCCAATAGTATTCATGTCAAATCAGGTGATAAAGTCCTAGAAGGCCCTAGGGTCGTATTTCGCGACGTCTTCTAATGAATAACTACTCACAACAACCATCTGTGACATACACGAGAATCATAAAGACATTTAGGGGTCTTCATTTCACAAATAAGTAAAGTAAAAGGAGTAAAGTTGTTTAAGGATTTTTTTATTTATAGATGCATAAAAGTAAATAATTTTTCTACCAAAAAACCAATATAAGTTATTGTAGAAGGGAAAGAAACTCAAAAAATATCATCCATAATAGGGCTTATTCATATTATGCATCAATGGTTCATCTACTCTATTCCTTCCTTTAAGGCCACTCTCTACCCGTGCATGTGCCTTCTGCAATAGAGATTTAACTAGCTAATGTGTGTTTCGCTTCATGATATTACCTAATCAATAAAAACAAGGAAGTTAGGATAGCATATAATTAATTGTGGACTTCTACGAACATAACCATAGTCTATAACATCGATGCTCTTGATCTTGAATACTCAAATGATTGGAAGGATTGGTTTCGCCACCTCCGAAACCTCTTCTTAGTAGCCTCTTCCTTCTCTTAATCCCAATCCAAGTGTAGAAGTATGGGACGGCCGATGTTGTATCCACTAAGAGGGGTCAACGGTATAATATATTTTTTGGCCAAAGAAGCACTGCAAAAGGGTCCAACTCAAGGATTTTCTCGAGATTGGTTGCAAATCTTGGATTTGACTTTTTCCTAATAACATCTTCATACTCCTCAACCCCCAACCTTCTCTTGGACTCCACTTTCCTTATATACAACTTCTTCCCCTTTGCCAACCTCAAACTCCTCCTTTTCTTTGCTTTCTTCTTCCTTCACAACCTCTTCATTGCTTGTTCATGCTTCTTCTTGTATGTAAACAAGGAGAGTAAGTTTAATCTAAACGATGTAAAGTAGTTCTCCTTGCTTTTCCACCCTATTGAGCAACTCATTAGAGTCTTGCATAAAACTTGAATCAAGAGGAAGGGAATGAATATCCATATTGGAACATGCTTGCTTAATAATCAATCACAGATTTCTCCCTTGCATAGAAAATAACCACAAATTTCTGTCTTGAGTTAAGATCCAAAAATAAAGAAGCCATAATAACGAAATTAAGAAGAAAAACTGAATAGAAATAATTATTCAAATCATAATCTGAAGTACTAGAACCACTGCCAGTTCCACTAACCTTAACAATAATGGTGTACTAGCCACAAGAAGCATAATGCATATACATGATCACCATATAAGAGATATAACCTATCTTCTTCCTCGTGGTAGTCTAGGGTTGTCATCTCCTTCTAAGGTTGCAAAACTAGGATTGTGGGAGTGGGAGTATAAAATTGATCCTCAAATCAAGGATACAAGGATATTAGAATATGGTTGCTAAGAGATGTATCTATAGGCTCTAGCATTGTTTTTTTTTTTTTTTTTGTCTAAGGGGTTATGGAGGGGTAAAATTACTAAAATTAAATTATCATCAACTCCCTTATAATCGTCATGATAAGCTGAAGTTTGCATTGGTCTGGGCTTGAGGTTCGTATCATCTATGAAAAAATGGTTACTTGGTTTTCTTAGTGGGCCATGGCGGTCTAGACCTGCCATGAACCAATGTTGGATTTTGGAAATGTGAAATCCAGCTTGTTTACTTGGTTTGTGGTAGAGTCTATTTTGACCCAATTCTACATTTGTCCTCAATTCCATAGAATTGTCTCGTTTTGAGACAATTGAGTCAGATTGATCCGTTTGGCAACAGAAAATTTGGATGAAGCAATTTAGTTGGGGAATATTGAATTGACTCATTTTGAGCCAATTATAATTGTCTGGGGAGGGGCAGAGGTAATCTGAACTGACTCGTTTTAAATGACTCATTTTGTAAAAATGAAACAATTGGTCAAATTGTCTCGTTTTATAATTGA